AAGAAGGCGCTGCCATGTATGTGGCGGCCTAGTCTGCAGGCTGCAGATGGGTTCTATGCACATCAGGAGATCGTCTCCGACAAAACTCCGATGCGGGAGACCCATCTCAAGACAGGCCTTGTAAGGCTGAAAGGCCGAAGTAAGAACTACAGTAGATCTTTACTAAATGATGTGATCTCTGGATATCGATATCTGTGGAGTGGTCAGTGGTCACCATGTATAGAATGATCGACTCATGACGAAATTATCCCTCTCTCTCTGACAAAAGCAAGTATCCTGGGCCCAGATCGGTTCTGCCGAGACACTGGCAGCGTTCGCCATGCATCCTGAGCTGCGAGCTGCGAGCTGCGCTGGGCCGATGGGTGCGAGCGTGTGCTCTGGCAAGCTGAATGGAACCGGACATGTGGAGCTATTGGGATGATCATCGGATCCTCCGGTATTGGTCTTCAAAGGTATTGAACAACTATTAATCTCATGATTTATCATGTATAGAAACCGACACAGATTCATGATTCCTGTACTTGGCTCATGGGCCACCCACCCTATTAAAACATGCTGGTCCTGGTCCTATAATTCTTACCACTATTTGAGCCCGGGCCTCACACACAAAGACTTGGCAGCTTGGCATCCTACAAAAGGAGATTGCGATGTGCGCCTCCGCGTTCATTGAGATTGTCTATCATATTTGCTCAACCCTGAAGCAACCAACTCTCCGACTCACAAATGTGAGTCGAGTGGAACACTCCTTTGTTCATCAAAGGACATACGCAGGCTCTCTGTGGCATGGAATACTTTCATATATATATATACCCTAGGCTTCCAACCACCATTAATTTAATAGGCTTTACCGAATCAACTAAGGATTCTCCACTACAAAACCCAGGTCAACCATTTTTGTTCTTGGTCCTGGAAGTCTATAGTAGGGTATACATTTTCACGCTTCAATCACTCCAATCAGGTATAAACATTTCTTGAGGTGTCTGGAAGATTCATGGATCGCTGGCCGTTCCGCAGTCCAATCCACGCATGGGAATATTGGTCTACATTGGGGGTGGTTTCAAGATGTTTTGAGGGTTAGTACATCAGTGTGTATTCTATACAGAGAGACCTCCCAGGCGTCCCGAATTTCTGCTCCCCTGGAAGGTTGGGGATCTCCCCATAAAAATACCACGCGCACACACCTATGTGTTTTGTAGAATCTTGATGAATTTGCATAATTAACCCCGCCCCCCGAAACATGGATGGTAAAACCTACCATGGATCGGTGGCTGATGTGATGTGATCTTCGCCAAGGCACGGCGCCCCGTTGGCTCCGTCGAGATCCGGCGCCGGCCTCGGGCACCGCACGATTGGGGACCCGCTTTGGCCAAGCAAGATGAGGGATTTAAGTGAAACAAAACGTTTGGAGCGGTCAAATCTGCAAGTTCTTTGACTGAAGATGAGAACTTCCTGGTAAATATGTTTCAAGAACAATATTGCCCCCGACTCCGCAAACTGATTGCGAGCAAGTGGCGGTCTTTTGAATACTATGCACATTCTTGCAAACGACCACAGGCCTTTTCCTGTGCACGCACGATCCCAGAATACACCCCGTGCCAAGCAGAAAAACAACAGGGTTTCCCAATCGTTTTCTGAGTGTGTACACCTATGTGCAGTGTGGTTGTGAGTCAACTGATTTGTTGAGTATGTACAACATCTGGAACTGAACATACAGGAAACAACAAGTCCTCGCCTCCAAAGCCTGCGGCATGGCCCCCTGCCTGGCAGAAAGAAAAACAGGAAATGATTCCGAATGATTGTCCTTGGTGGACCTTGTATAGAAATGACTCCAAATGACTGTCCTACCTCCTTTTCGGATGGTCTTTGAACGTCTTTGAGGATAACAACGTCCGGTTTGGATGGTCCCGGATCCTCAGGGACTTTGTCTTAAAAACACGTGTTGTATATAGAAAAATGATAGATGCTTCTCCACCTATGTCTTTCAGGTTCTGCATTGGATGCCTCACCCTTGAGATGTCCTCGCACTGGGAGAATTAAAAAGAAC